TATCACTGCACTGCATACTTTCTAGAATCAAAACTCAATTCAACCCAAATGATCACTTACTAACTTTAAAAAAATTGATAGCGTGAACTACAACACTAAAAGCGAACAGATATTACGAATATCGCGATAAAAATGAAAAATATTGCAATGAAAGAAAAAGAAGCAAGTCAACGTTATACAACCAGTACATATGCACAAAATGATCAAGCGATAAACGAATTGAGGCGCAAATGACCTCATAAAACAAGGGCAAACGATAATTATGTATCAAGGCATTTATCGCGCCCTAGTCAGGACGCAGCGCGTGTTTTGAGGTTTGCGGATTCTTTGCTGCTTGCAGCGCTGCTCAGCTCCAGCGTTGCCCTCGCTGCTCGCTCGTTTTGTCCATACCTAAGCAGCGAGGTATGTATCAAGCCTAAAAGAGAAGACGCAGACACGACTCCCGTTAGTTGCTCCTGAGTCACTTACGATGCACATCACTTTGCCTAACACTGCAGACAAAATCGGCGCAAAACTGCAGAACCGCGCCCGAAAAGGAGAGGATCGATGAACAGCTGATTTTGGCGAGCAAACAAAAAAAACAAATTTTTCACTCTTCGTAAACTTAACTGACTTTTTTAGAGCTGTCCAAAACGAGAACTCATTTGTTCATTTTATCAAATTTACGCTGCAACCATTTCGTTTTTTCGTAAAGTTTTCGTCACAAAATTTGTTTTTGTTTTATCCGTGCATTTGCTAAGCAAAATCCTTGATAGCAGTCATCATCGATTGCGATAGTGGCCGCCATCAAAGATTGCCCGGCGATGCAGCAAAGGTCGTATCGCTAAACTGAGTCGAACCACAGCTTGCGCATGTAAGTCCAATCGTTTATCCTTTTGACCAAACCGGCTCGATTGGTTACTTTCTCAACAACACACTTGATTGTAATGTTTAGGAAGCGATCCCCATCCAGATCAATAGCTCACCGGATGCTAGACTGAGGCGAGATGAAATCAACTGCGGTCCGCCTCAAGGGAGCTGCGCTGATGAGAATTTACTACGGGCCAATGTCCGAGAACTTTCAAACCAACTTAATAAAAACCGTGATCAAATTAAAAACATTCCATATCCCATATTTGGGCATTACAAAGCTTGTTCGGCCTCTGTCAGGATACTTGATGTTCTCTCTGCTAGTGTCATCGCCCAGATTCAAAATAGCGAGAAATAGTGGCCCGAAGTATTTTTTACAGCCAAAGAGTTTTGAAAGCTAAGTTGAGAAGTACAATTTCACAAGTTTACGGCTTAGCAGCTCCAAAATTATGCCTTTATACAATTCCAGGAGCCGATTATACTCGTAATGCAAGCAGTTACAAGCTAAATGAACCCTCATGGGTAAACCAATCCAGAGTTCAAGTCGCAGTTTTCTAATAAACCGTCACAACAAAGAATGATGAGTATGACCTCGTTTTTTAGGCCGTGATAAGATTCAATTTGAAGTTATTCACCCACTCTCTTTCGTTGCGAACATTAGATCAATGCGACTTACAGCGATATAAACACTGCTTCGTTTTAAGTTTCTTCTCTTATCGACAACGTTTAGGATATAAAACGTTGTACTTCAAATGATTCAAGGAAACAGATCCAACGCAAGATAGTTTAGCTTATCATGCATATTGAAAGCATTTGGGTCGATACCACCCCCTTCCCCTCCACTAGAACTGTGGGGCACTGCCATGCAGACAACATAACTGTGTAGGGAAGTTCTGCCTTAGCTCAGCCAGTAACTGCATCAAAATGACAGATGTAAATCAAAAATAATCACCATTCGAGAAAATACAACTAGATCTTGATATAAGAAATAATTAGTGAGAATTAGTGAGGAGCAAAAAGCATCCTTGCACATCAGTTTTCAAAAGAAGAGGACTGCAGCGTTACAAGCTGCTTACACGCTTTACTCTCCTCTCGACTGAAACAATTTGTCTTTACGCAAGTTCACCATAAACTCTCCACCAGGCATCAAGGGCATGTCCAGTATATCACGAGCATCCACAGAGAGGCATGCAAACGTGACTGCATCAAATCCGTGATGTCTGCCGCGCTCTGGCTAAACCGATAACCAGGGGCGCAACTATTAAAAGTAGATGCTGTGCGTTTCGAATACGTCTCTGCTAATAGTCCGTCGCTGCCCGCTCACCGTCTAGCATGTCGCCAGTTCACTGAAACTGCTATCTATTGCCGCGTCATCATAGCCTTTAACCGTCTGAGTTGTTGCTACCCATTGGTCTTTACCATCACTTATAGCCCAGCAGAATTAACGGTGAATATGGTGTCCTTGTTGCGCCGACATCTGCTAACAAATTTGCGGGTTGAAATTGTCGGGTGGTGCAAAATTTATAATTGCGCTCTACAGCCACTTCACGCGCAAACATGCAGGCATTACAGATACTTTGTTAGCGAGCCAATCTCGCCGCAAACTTCGGCACTGCAAGTCACCTTGCGTGAAATTTACAAGCTTTACATACACCTCATGAACAACGGGCCCACCGAAAATTTTTGAAAAAATCCATGAACTCGAAATTGTTTACTGATAAAAAGTAGCCTAAGGCCCGTATGCACGTACATCCTGGCTGGGGAGGTGAGGGGATCTTGGAGGAGATGCATCATATCTCGTTACTCTAGGTATCTTCCTTCTCCCTTCTCTATCTTGCTTATGAAAGTTCTCATACGCTTTTACCTGCGCATAGTGGATGCCAGGTTACTTTCATACAACATTGGTTTTTTGCCTTTTTGTGTTCCCGGAGGATTCCCTGGGGATAACATCCCAGGGAATCAACTCTCAAAGTGTTATCTTCCTGAGAAGTCAATGAAAATGCTGCAAAATTGTACTGAGGATATAATATACTACGGCACTGCTAATCATGTTTTCGACAAAAGAAATGGAATCTGACGATTGTGAATTTTTCGATGATCCCTAGCTCGCGAGCTAGGGATTACCGAAGATTTCGATGTCCTGAATTTCACTTATTTCTACCATAAAACTTTTGCAGTGCCGTATATCCACAGCACAATTTCGCAGTGAGTTTTCAGGAAGATAAATGGCATTATAATTGAGTGGTAATCCTCTGGGGATCTCCGGGTGATCCCCAGGAGACCACACAAAATAGGGAAAATCCACACAATTATGTCAGTAACCTGGCATCAATTATGCACAGGTATAAGGGTATGAGAACTTTCATAAGCAAGATGGAGAAGGAAAAGAAAGATGCTTTAGAGTAGCAAGATATAACGCATCCCTCGGAGATCCCCTCCCCTCTCCAGCGGGAATGGACGTGCATACTGGCCCAAGACACCCGCTCCCCCCCCCCTCCCCCAAAAAAAGCATGCAAAGTTTAATCCGGATCGGCTTAAACATGAATTTTCTTCGGTACATAAGTGCAGAGAAACACACAAGCAGACTTCTAGCTTGATACTTCCAAATGACTCTTGTGCTACTGATCAGTGGATGGCTTCCAACTTCGTTCTTAGCACTGACAAGGCGTGAATAATAGTCTGCATACATATAAAGAATTGATGTTGTTTTTATTATAAATATAAGTAAATATAAGTAGATATAGAAACGATTTATATAGTTTACTTATATTTACTTACACGGAGTTTTTACTTAAGTACGAAATGTTTAAGAGTGAAGGACCAAAGCAAAAGTATAACAAATTCGTTTTCATTCCCCCTGAAAAGAGGTTTTGCTTTATATTAGGTTGATGCAAAAATAATGAGCGTTTTTATTTGCTTGCTTTAACAAAGCAACCAGACTCAGCCCAACAAAGGTTAAGGGGTACTGTTCGATAGAGCAAAGCAAGCTCTACAAGATGGCACTCATGTCTTTGCGCCATGCTCGATCCACGGAGAGTTCGAACTCAAAATCTAAAGATTCCCAAATGCCCAAAAAATCGAAAAAAATCAGATCTTCGTCCAAATAATTTCTACGACCTCCCACTCGCTCACATCAATACTATCGATATCTGATATCCATATGTGCGATTGCCGTATTTTTTCCTTGACTAGGAACTGAGAAAACGAAGATTTCCCTGATTCTCTCAAAGCAATGCTGAGCCGTTTTTGCATATGTAGTTCTATACTACAAGCCTAGGTAAGTATAACTGTAGATTTTCAGCCCGTTCCAAGCGGTAGTTTTCGAAAAATAACGAATTCGGATTTTTTCGTTTCAGTTTCAGCGCTAATATCGACTTTCTCGAAAAGTACCACTCGAAATAGGCTGAAAACCTACAGTTATGCTTACCTAGGCTTGTAGTATAGAACTACATATGCAAAAACGGCTCAGCATTGCTTTGAGAGAATCAGGGAAATCTTCGTTTTCTCAGTTCCTAGTCAAGGAAAAATACGGCAATCGCACATATGGATATCAGATATCGATAGTATTGATGTGAGCGAGAGGGAGGTCCGTAGAAATTATTTGGACGAAGATCTGATTTTTTTCGATTTTTTGGGCATTTGGGAATCTTTAGATTTTGAGTTCGAACTCTCCGTGGATCGAGTATGGCGCAAAGACATGAGTGCCGTCTTGTAGAGCTTGCTTTGCTCTATCGAACAGTACCCCTTAACCTTTGTTGGGCTGAGTCTGGTTGCTTTGTTAAAGCAAGCAAATAAAAACGCTCATTATTTTTGCATCAACCTAATATTTATTTATTTGATACGCATATACTAAGTCTCACGTGAAAATCACCAGTAAGAAGAAAACTTGGAACCAACTACACATTTTACGGATGTTATGTAAGTTTCACAAAGCTGCGATTCACCGAGGTAATTTTAAAACCTTACCACTTATTTTGTTAATGACTGCTACTCCAATTTTATATTGAAATTCACCCAGTTCTAACACTTACACGTTCTACAAAATTTTATCTACACGACAGTTTTTGTAAGAGATGCACAGATGCATATCGAAATGCACAGTTGTTTGAGTCACTGATAGGAGGCAGAATTTGTTATTTTCAGATTCATTCTCAAACAAGCGGAAAACTGGCCAACGACGCGATTCCACATTGATTATGGCGATTTCGAGCCATGCGTATGTAACCTTCCTCTCCCCAGTCCGTACCCCAGCTAGAAAAAAGTCGAATTTGCAGAGCAGGATTGATATATGGAAGAAAAGCTAAAGCCTTGACCTGTTTTTAACCAGCCAGTAATCTCCTTGTTTTGGATCAGTACCGTATCCAACAAGGAGAACAGCGTGATTCAGTTCATCGACAGAGGATGTGCATTGATCATCGATGTAGACACCTAAAAAATGTGGCAATTTGCTGCTACATGATATTCAAGGATTTTGACCATTTCTTATCTGTATTTGGTTGCCCCATTTCTAGGCGGAAATATTGGACTCATAATATAAAATTGAAGGCATGAAATATGGTTCTCGCTTGAAGAATGGGATTTTGAAAATAACGGTAATGTTACTGCAGGCTGCTATCAAAAATTTCGTGTGACATTTGGCAAGCGAGCCTTCTAATTAGTGCAAAACAATCACTGATTTGATTATACAACTACTGATTTTCGGGATGATTTTTTGCACTTTTTCCATTATGCCGGTTTGTTACAGGCGTTTATGCGCATTACTCCAGCACTGAGATAAATGATTTGGTGCGAATGAATGAGACAGATGAACTAAGCGCATCTTTGCACCTTATGCACTTTCTATAAAGTTGTGTTCAGCCCAGCAGAGACCTGCTAGACCATTGTGGATCTAAACTGGAGCAGGCGGGTTGTTTTAGAGCGCGACACCACCTAGGGCAAATCAAATTAACAAGGGAAGGATGGTCAGTCGAAGTGGTCTTTTGCGATGGTTTGTATACGATATTGGAAGGCGTGAAATACTTATGCTAATTCTGTTCTCCTTATCTGCGGCGCATTTCTACGAGGAGTTATGAGCGTTTGAAGGAGGAAAAAATGAATGTTTTTTGGGATAAAGACAGTTGCAAAAATTTTCCCAGAGCTTGAGTAAGACAACCGGAGTGCAGATATATTTCGTTTAAGATTATTTATTTCATAGAATGCTGGAAAGATTGCTATCGGTTCATATGAGCGCTAGGAAAAATGTAATATTATATCATCTGTATATGCAATTTTTTTCTCCGATAATCGTTCATAACTTCTCGTGCAGGAACGCGCCGCAGATAATGAAGACAGATTTGGAATCAGCGTTTTATACTCTCCAACATGATATACAAACCATCTCAAAAGGCCACTTCGACCAACCATCCTTCCTTTGTAAGGACTAAGGCGCCGTGCTCTTCCGCACGATCTACTTCTATGAAATTCATCCACCAGTTGTCTTCAGGACTGAGGACGTTAACTGCGAATATGACACGACATACAAAGGGCTCAACTGCTTACCCTTTTTGTAAAACTGGAAGCCAAGTTCCCTAGCGTCAATAGCGACTGAGATAGGGCCCTGAGTTGCAACGGCAATCTGTAAAAGCTTTTGGTCAAAATTATATACATGTGCGGAATAAAATGCCCACCTGCAGTTGCTTTTCATCTCCTGTGGGAAGATCTACGAAGCCTGTGACATTCGCGCCAATGTTCCTTGTGGAAAAATGACATTTTGTTATCTGCAAGCTAGCAGATAAATCGAAAATAAGTGAGGGAATTTGAGGAAAAGCTACATCGGCAACATAAGGATAACTTTGCTCTGTATCGACACCATGATTTTCTTTGATGTATTCGAAGGCGAGATCCATGAAACCTCCGTTACAGCCATGGGTTCCAAATGCAAAGGAACAGTCCAGGATATTTTGTTCGGAGAGGGAGACCTGAGATTTTGATCTTCCAATAACGCTATGAAATACAACAAGCTTACCAATTTTCTAGTAAGGCGAGCATGTTGTCCCTCAAGAGCCCCGGTTGCGGAGAAAGCCCAGCAAGATCCACAATCTTCCTGATTTTTAACCTCAGTAACAAGACCTTCACGACGCCAATCAAGGGAGACAGGTAACTGCAAAGCTTGAATCACTTTTAATATCCAAACTTCCTCAAAAAAATAAGATGTTTTTATCAGTGTTTAATATGTTGTCGCACCAAAAAAAACATTTAAATATTGAGTGTAAAATCGAGATTGTCCTTTTGCAAAACAACATCTCTTTTAGAAATTCGCAGTAAATCCTGATCTCTCAGTAAATTTTTATTATAAAGTTACTATACTAAAGTTAGTCTAGATGATGAAACGGAATTTAGCACCACAGACAGAAAAAAATCGCATTAAGACTTGACTTTTGAATCATATTTATGGAAGCACTGGAATCGTCTTTTGAATGGAAGTGAGTGTTTGAGACATGTTAAACGATGTTTTTTTCAGACTCCTCAACAAAAATAACCAGTTATAAATCCCATCTTTTTTTGCTTTCAGAAATTTCTTCCATTTTTGCAGGCGTTGCGATCTTTGCACTCAAACATCTTGTGTCTATCCGTTATACATAGATTGAGGAGGTAGCCCCTTCGCATTGTTTTTCAAGCATAACCCAATAGATTCGAAATCTTCCGCCTCCAACTAAAGCTGGCTTGGAGGGCAACGGAATGTACAGGATGTCTCAAAAAAGGTAGCTGCTGTTTGATCGTTGACATCTCTCTTATTGTTTGCATGAAGCCTTTGGAAAGCTTCAACTACCTTTTTGTAGAGCTGGTTTCGACTACAGTAGTAGAGATCAGCGATCGCTCTTCATTCAGGATTATCGTAGAAACTTTAAAAAGGGTTTTTAGCCAGAGAGGGCCATATTTTGCCTTGAAAACATACTAATCGACCTGAAATCTTTCACGGACTAATTGAACTTGCTAATTCTAAATATGAAGTCCGCAATCTATCACAATGCATCGTTAGAAAGTTCTGCCAAGTTGGAAGTAGCAGCTGTTTTTTCGATATGTCTGACAAAATTTGGTTAGACCGCTTAGAGAGTTTCACAATTTTGTAAATACAAAGTTGAATACCGAACTCAGGATGTCATTCAAAAAACCAGCCTCTTCACAATGAAAACATATGGCCAGAAGTTCCCACCGTAATCCTACAGCATTGAAGAATGTTCGGTGCTTGGCTCCATATTGTAAACTCAATTGTAGGTCAAAAACAGCTTTAAAAAATGGTTCCTAAACCTTCTCGAAGTCTTCATGGCAAGAGAGTTACTGACAATCAAACAGAAGGCACATTTTTGGGACATCCTGTATACACGCGATCGGTATACTGCCATTTGCGCACAGTGAAGGCTGTCAGATGTGAATTTTTGAGTACTGTGAGTGGGGGTTGGGCATGAGTTTTTTTAAAGAATTCGTAGCTCCGATCACCTAAACTAAGTGCAGCAGCTAAAGCAGGTAAATAGCAAATATGTTACATGCTGCACGCTTAACGTTTTTATTTTTGTGCACGACTCTTAGAATTTCCTTTCCAGATACAACATTCTTACAGAAAATCCTCACTTCAACATTGTAAGGAGGAAGCCACTTGCTGCTGTTGTCCCATTGATAATAGCCTAGTTCTCGGGGACGACGAAATCCATTGAGCCTACGATAGTGTGCATCCGTCTGAAGTGAATGAACATAATATCGACAGCAAAGGGGCAAACGAATGTGGAATAAAAGTCTTACGAAATCAGCAAGGTGATTCAATCCCAATTCGAAACTCTTTCTGCCCTGTTTATATTCTCTATTATGGCTTTCAATGTGTTTGAGATTTCTAGCAAACGCCTCCAAGCGGACACTTTCTTCGCTTTCTTCGTAGCTTTTTCCTATAAACGGAAACTGAAAACTGTGGGAGCCTATGTCCTCATAAGATTTCAATAAAAAGTCCTTTTAGTACCAAGTTGGTTGTGATAGCCTAGATTTTGGACAAGCTTCAACCTCAAAAAGGATAGTTCAAAAGGGATACACGCTGAAAGATCTTGGTTGGGACCCTCACGTCAGTTTCCATATAAGCTGGATAAATAGAGCTTTGACATTGTGTTTGCGAGAAACCAGACAATAAGATAATTGAAACATTTCGAAGGTTTGCCCCCGACGCAAATTTACCATCCATTGCATTTACGAAGGGAGTCTTACCATAGGCCTTTTTGAATTCGCCCCATCGTTCATACAGTTTAGGTGTAAGTTGAATATCTTTTACTTCTTCATGTCGGGCTGCTCGCACCTCCCTAAAATCACTATTTCTACTATACATTAAGGCGTTTGTCGAATCCTTTATGAGAGTTGCTACGACTCAAAATGTCCTACTACTAAAGGCTGGGTTAGTGTACCGACATAGATATGTCATGGTGAAAATCCTAAAGAAGGTTGTGCAGTACATGCACCCACCTGCGTCGACCGTTAAAACCATATGCAGAAGCACATAATAACGCAAGTGAAAGGATGCTGAACATTGTCGCCAAAATCAAACATCACCGGGTAAATTTATACCCTCTTTGGGCGGAGTTTAAAGTTTAGAATGCTTTAATCCCGTCCTTCGTTGCACACTCTTACTGTCTTTTGGTTAGAACTTTTATCACTTGAGTATGAAAGTGCAAGGATGGAAAAACCATAAGAAAAGTGCAGATTAAACAAACACTTGATTCACTATTTTCATGATACAAAATATGGTATGTAGTGCAGTTATGCTATAAAAAAATCAGATTTTGTCTGCTTGCAATCGAATGAGATGAGGAACAGAATTTACTTACTCGAAAGACTTGTCGTAGCATAACCATAGGGGTGTGAGGTTTCGGCACTCTAGTTAACACCATATGCAAAACTAATCTTTACACATAATTAGTAAGCCCCGTTTTAATCCAGTAACGCTTAAACCCAGAATATTTAGGTGTAATTTCGAACGGAAACTTCAGCGATATGTGCCCTGTCAAAGATGAAAAGTAGCCACTTAGGGTTTTCTGAGATGTTTTCTTTTAAATATGTTAGCAGCTTTGTTTGATACAACAGGCAGAATCTTGTGATGCGAAGTTTTCTTTGAATAATTCCGGGGGGGGGGGGGGTGGAAGTTATTTCGAAAAGAAACGAAAAGATTGTGCTTCGATTAAACAAAATAACCTAACCCATATTCTATCAAGCCATTACATTCCAGCATTATTTCAGATCCAAAGACTGAACACCGATAACTCTTACAACTGGAAATGACTCCGGCCAGTTGGAAAAAATCTACTATCTGAACCCGAACTCGGCTCTAAATCATCACGTTAGTGCCGCTAGATTATAATTGCAATATAAATCTATAGAGAGCTTGTAAATGGCTAGTATATAAGAAATAACGTTCCATAAAACACCTAGGCACCATTTTTCATGATCCCAGATCTTGCTACTGAATCTTGGGTCTGATATTACACTGAAATCACGGTTCCATGCGTTGCTGGGTGGAACGGAGCTTACTGTGTGCTGGATTAGCTCTGCATACGGTGCTAGTTACTGTTGTTGACAACTCACGATACCTAAAATACGTTCCAGCGAGGCCTTTGGGGTAAGGTTTCCTCACCCAAACAAATTGGTTTTTCTGCATTGTGTCGGAAACCAATATGAACATTTGGACTTAAAAGTTTTTCTGATTTCGATTTCTTTTGCTTCTTTTTTTGGAGAGCTCAATGTTATGATCTTCTAACCACTATGGACCATAAGAGACCTGCTGCAAATTCTGCCTGTAATTGTTTTCAAGTGGCTAAATTAGAAAAAGGATAAAAAACAACCTTCGCACTACCTGCCAATACTTTTTCAAGACTATTCACACTAAGCTTGCGTATATCAAAGCTTCTATCGCAAATTTCCTCGCCAAGGTAGGCAGTTGACACTACAAAACTACAAATCTGCGCAACTCAATTATAGACAACGATTTTTGCTACACCTCTGCAGCTAATACATTTAGAATTGTTTTGGTTAGGGAAAACTATCGTTTATTCAGATGGTAGATCATATACTAAAAATGTGTGATATGCGGGTCTAGAAAACTAATGTATTATAGTGATCTATCCTTAAAATTGTGTGAAAATCCATCCTCATGAGGTTTACAAATTTTCAGCTGTTGTCTGTTTCTTATATTCAAGAATGGGCCATCACGAGCTTTCGTAATGTCCAACTTTAGCTATCTATAATTTTTTCGACTTCTTATGAATAGGATAGTGTAATATTTTTGTTATTGTAAGCGGCATACCAAATGGTGACTTTACATGCCTTGAAAAGAGCGATACAGCTAAGATAAGCTTAGTTCTAATGCTTCAAAAGAACTAGCTAATAAATTCAGCTCTACATGATCTAACAAAAAGATAAAAAAATCTCATTATTTATTTAGGCACTTCTTTATTTCTTCTCTGTTGCTTATTAACAATATTTAAGTTATCTCATTCCAAACGAAATATAGGATTTCCACGCTTTTAGATATTAAAAACTTACATCACTCGCTGAAATTTATCTTTACTATTTTTTCTTTTTCGATTTATTCTTCTTTCCTTTCTTTTTTATTCTTACGGTCTTTCTTTACTACTGATAACATCCGGAAAGATCGTGTTCCTAACTTTTTTGCGTATAGAAGAAACGAGAAAAAATTAGGTGTTTTTTTTGATTTTTTACTCTTCTTCGTAACATGTACTAGTAATATCGTGGTTGCCGCTGGCTCGTTGTATGTGAGTTTACTAGCACGATGCAGTCATTTTTATAGTGACTCGTTTTTGTGGCACAATTAAGAAAACTGTTAAACTATGGGGCATACGGTACGGTAATACTCTTGTCCAATTTGAACATTGGGATCAGGGCTCGGCACGAGCTGGCACCAGAGAAATTTTAGAACGAAGTCCCGTTTGATCTTGAAAATTTCGTACGAAGTCCACTTTGACCTGTTTTGAAGACCCGTCATTATTTTTAGATTATGTAAAAGTATGTAGTAGGGTTTTCATACATGCTGGTTTCATGGAACAACTTTTTACAGCTTCTGAGCTTTTGGTTGAATCACATCTTAAGAAGCAGAAAAAGCCTATTTTTCTACTGCGGAGCAGACCGAGCAATTTTCGGATAGCTATAAAACGCTGAAGAGAAAACATTATAAATTATTTCTTCTTTGTATGTAAACTTCTACAGTGTAGATACGTTTTATGTAAAAAAGTATGAAAACTTATGTGAGCAAAGTGTCGCTGCCAACTCAGCTGGCCCCCAGCTGCCACGGCGCCAGCTAATTCAGGAAAAAGTTCAGCACAACTTTTATTCACATAAGCTTTCATAAATTTATGGGCCATAGTCCGGGTTCCCCAACGCGCATGCACAAACTAAATTTGGTGTCATACTACTGCGTTTTGGCTGAAAACAACGCCTTTGTTTGTTTGATGGACAGCATGCAGGTGGCCTGCCGGCGGCATTCTTGCGGTTCGTCCCCGGAAAAACGACATCGCCTTTGCTTTCCGCCCTAAAAAAGATATCCAGCTTGACCCGGTGCCAGCTGTGCCGAGCCCTGATTGGGATGAGCTTTTTTTTCGGCTGTTGGCAACTATACCTTAGGAATTTTTTGAGTCACAGTTCGCAGAGTGCACGCATTTCGATATAGTGGGTTGCCAACTACCTTACAGTACAATTACTAAGCGGACTAAGAATGTTCGTGCGTCATAATTGAGCTATACTGGGAAAATCTGATAACGACTCGTCAGAAATGTCAAAGACAAGTGCAAAATTGTAAGCTGATAGAACCTTCGAAATTCATTTGCGTCATCAGCTGCTTGACATAAGGAATTTATTTGCATCACTAGGAACTACACTGATTGAGACATAGTCCTGGGGTCTCAGTTCTAGCCATCAATTGATGCTCTTATCTCTTATTCATTGCAGAAGTTGGAAAATGCACTTTGCACACAACTCGCACCTTTGATCATAAGATGCAGAATTATTGGCAGAGCTGAAAAAACTTGGCAGTTTCCGTACCTTTGTTGCGCGATGTTCAGAAGTTGTTACGCTACGATATGCATAATTGTTTTGTGGAAGATGCGTCATTGAACCCTGCTTAGGAAAATGCAGCATACCAACTATGTTTGTATCACGAAAGTCTTCTAAATTTGACCTTGAATACAAATCTTCAATAAGCATTCTACAAACACTATTCAAATGCAAAAGAAACCGAAAAGACTCAAGTTCATAGATGTAGATGGAGTCAAGGCAATGGCTCGGCAAAACTTGGCATCTCGGATTCTTGATAGACTAGGTTGTCCATACCCCAAATATGAAAACAGAGCAAGTTTAAGCGCACAGGGCTGCCCAAAGCCGTGCGCGTTAGTCATTCATACAAGCGCTGCGACGCGCTCGGAGGAGGCATGCCAGTGTTGTAACGATAAAAATCCCGCAACGATTCTGCTTCTCTAACCTTGGCGGGAACTGCTCCACTCGTCAAAAAACCAAGGGTTTTATAAAATGTTTTATAAAATGGTCGCGCTCTTTGAGATGGTTTTGTTTTTTGGAGCCAACGCGTATGATTGCCCTCGGTAAGCAAAAAGTTAGGTAGGGAATTTACCGAAGCTATTTCTTTTATGGCACAAGGATATTCTATCGCAATCATCGGCTTCATGTTATGTTAATGTACCAAAGTTGAAATAATTTTAAGTGTTCTTCCCCGTTAGCACCGTCTTAGACATTATTTGAAGTGAACTTAATTTTTCTGTGTTAAAGGCAGCGTCCAGGCAGATCTGGACCTATGGGGATTTTACATGGAAAGTACTTTTGGGGCCCTAACTAAGGCATTGCCCAAGCGGCAGCGCAGGTAGTGCTCTAACGGCTGAGATATACCTCTCGAAAGTGGACCCCGAGATCGTATTCGCATGGACTCATCCACGCTTTGCGCCATGAATCCATGTGGAATGCGATAGCGGGGTCCAGTTTCGAAAGAAATATCTCAGCCGTTAGAGCACTACCTGTGCTGCCGGTTGGGCAGTGGCCTAGTTAGGACCCCAAAAATACTTTCCACGTGAGATCCCCATGTGTCCAGACTTGCCTGCACGCTGCCTTTAAAGGCATTGTTTCGGCAAATCCACTTATCTGGAGTTATCCGCAGTGCTGAATCCGAAAACTACTTTGGAAAGCGCGAGAGTGAGAACATGCGTTTCCCACGGCTTTACATGTTAAAAATGGACTGTCGCCACCAAAGCTTAGATGCAGAGTCGCTGCGGGACCCTCTGACTTGAACTGTGAGGCATGCGTACTCTGCCGCAAAGCAGGTACTCAAAACAGGCGGGAGACCGCGCTCTTAAGGCGTAAATTTCTCCGTGCTTCTAACAAAAGTAATGGTCTCGCAATTGGGCGAAGACGTGTCCGAGGAGGCCCATTTATGGCACCGAGATCAAAAACCCCACTTTGTTCGGACATTGCTTTTGAATTAGATGTAACCGCGGTATACTCCAACTCACATAATTCA